GCGGGTCGCGGAGAACTGTCAAGCCGATCGCATCTTCCACGGGCCGAACCTTATTTACTGTTAGTGTAGAACGCTAATAGAGCGTTACGGGCAAATACCATCTTAGATGTCGATGATTGAGAGATTGAAGTCAAAGACTAAAAGCGTACATGAGCTGTTCTTATCAACGTCTTATTTTCATCACAGCCTCGTGCGGCTGAAATAGTAATATCCTAGCATGCAACCCTCAGCTTGATGATGGATTATGTAACAAAATTCATACACTCTGGTGACCATTTGTATGAAGGAGTGGAATGTTTTATGCAAGCTAAGAAAGCAAAATAGGTGGATCATAGAGATTTCTGCTTCTTATTCCTTAGCACTGGGTTAATTTTTGCTCCCATTTCTTTTGTCTGCGAACTCTTATAGCATATACCCACTCATTTAGAAAAAGCCACAACCAAAGAATAATAAAGCAGAGTGATAGAAGTGCCGCCCCAATTAGTACAACGGCACTAAAAGAACGAAAGGCAGGCCATAACGAGAGCCAATGTGTCGTAGCAACCTGATCAACCGCCAGCCCAACCTGCATAGAATTTAGTATAGTCGAGACTATAGCAAAGATGAAGAAAATGGGCCCATAGAGCCTCGCAAAATAATCTCCATATTGGCCATGGATTTGTTCAAAGTGGAATTTGCGGAGGAAGAATGGCGCGTAGAAGTTATATAGTCGAGACTATAGCAAAGATGAAGAAAATGGGCCCATAGAGCCTCGCAAAATAATCTCCATATTGGCCATGGATTTGTTCAAAGTGGAATTTGCGGAGGAAGAATGGCGCGTAGAAGTTCAGGCGGGAAAGCCTCAGCTCTCCATAGCGATGTCGGCCCGACAAGTTAGCGTCCTTGATCTAGTCCAAGGCAGAAATGAAGCGACAGAAGGCCACGCAACCCACCCCATGGGGAACAAGGCAGAGGTGGTCCTGCTTCGCGATGCAGAAGTGAGACTCGTGTTGAATCAGGTAGCGATAGGTTCGCAGATATCCCAACGCTGTTCTTGGAATGGCGTCTCGACGGCCACCGAGACAAGTGGATTGATTCACAAGAAACATTTCCCAGAATCTATACGAGAGCAGGTATTTGGGCAGAGGCTCGATGTATATTCGATCGTAGAACCAAACTAAATGGAGACGAGGTTCTTCGGTGATGATGATCTCCCGACCTTTCACACGCTGTCGATGCAATGGGTTGACATTACTGCTCGAGTAGGTTGACATGACCCAAAGATGCAGGGCAAAGGCCTCCAGGTCCTTGCTCCAGAATTCATCATCAAGGAACTGCGCTATCCTAGGAAGGTCGTTGAGCATGAAACAAGGATGCCCAGGGAGAAAGGGATTTGTTTGTGCTATGTCATCTTCAGCCTCAAGATCGGTACATAGCTGCTAGCATTGAAGAAATGGGGGCGACTCAGGAATGCGTTCCATTGTAGATAGGAGGAGGGATGGATCAAGAAGTTCATCTTCTGAAATAAATATTCCATGGGCTGGCTTTAGGCAGAATGGGCTGGGGGCGGCTCAGCCTCAATTTGTGCTCCAGTTGACCTTTTCAGCTACAGGCTGCAGGCTGCAAATGGTGCAAAGTTGGCCATCCTTTATTACTACCATCTTTCGATTATCATCAAACACCCATCTCTGATTATCTCAATCTCCAATTCAGTCACTCAAAACATTGTTGATTGCTACTATGGTATGCCCTAGTCTGATATCAGCAGACGAGTATGCTAATTGATCAAGGTTCGGCCCGTGACGGACGACGACACAGGGCTTAGGACTCTGTACGAACCCGCAGTGGAGACAGCTGGAGGCCAAACACCCATTGTTGAGTACGCTGCCTTCGTCCTCGGATTTTTCCATTCTCTAATACCTTATAGTATCGTCGCCATCCATGGCATCGGTTCCCACCCTAACGATACCTGGTGCAAGAGTGTCGGCACACCCGAAGCGCCATCCTATGTCAACTGGCTCAAGGATGCAAATATGCTGCCGTCAGTGGTACCAGCCGCTCGGATAATGCAGTACGGGTACATGTCCCGATGGTTTGGGGACGAGGCTATTCGCCAGAAGACAACTACCGTTGCGGAACGTTTGCTTATCTCCTTGAAACGCGCAAGAAAGGTAAGCTGTTATACTGCCTAACTTAATTCAAAGTACTAATTTTGTTTCTAGGGCACTGCTCTCCAATCGCGGCCTCTCATTTTCGTTGCTCACTGTTTTGGCGGACTGGCCATTTTACAGGTTTGCACGCCGAACTTGTACGAAAGGACTGCCAGCTAAAACACTACAGGCACTTCTGAATGCAGAACGTTTTCCCGACGAATGGCCTGGAATATATTCTGCTACTTGTGGTATAGTGTTTCTTGGTACCCCTTTCAGAGGGGCCCCTGGATTAACACTGAGCGAACTTCTTAAGGCGGTCGATGCGGAATACCAAGATACAATTCAAGGAGAAATCTTACGAATACTTGATCCTAATGACGAATCGCTACTTGAGATGGTACATGTCTTTGAGAAGATTCAGGCAAAGTCACTACAGAGAGCCAAGATGACATGTTTCTTTGAGCAGAAGCCATGTAATGTCAAGGCTATCTTGGGCAAAGAAGAGAAGAAGGTATGTTACATCTGAACCTGGGGAAGCTCTGAGGCTAACTAGGATAGTCATTCGCAGTTTCAGAAGGCTCTGGCTGCCTTGGCTCAGCGCAGAAAATCGGTCTCCAGCGGAATCATTTCGACATGAACAAATTTGGGAAGCCTACAGATGAGGAATATCAAACGGTGTGCGATGCCATAATTGATATTGTAGATGCTATCCCGAGTATGACCACGTTAAAAGGAGGTCAAAGGCACGATGAGCGACAAGAACCCGCGCCTAATACGTCCAATACGTCCAATACGTCCAATACGTCCAATACGTCCAATACGTCCGAGAGAAAAAAAAATCAAACGCTGACAGATAACGCCTTTAAGCGGAAATTAGCACACAGCGATTATACTATCGCGTGCATCTGTCCTATGGGCGTCGAACTGACCCCGGTCATGGCAATGCTAGATGAGGAGCACCAGAGTCTGCCGACAAATCGTGACCAGAACAGTTACACACTCGGATGTATAGGAGAGCATAACATTTTTATTGCGGTTATGCCAGAGATCGGCAATAACAAGGCAGCAACAGTCGCAACACAGCTGCTAAACGACTTTACATCGGTCAGGTTTGGCTTATTAGTAGGCATTGGAGGTGGTATACCCGGCGACGACGAGGACGACATTCGACTAGGAGACATCGTGGTTAGCAAGCCAACGGCAACATTTGGGGGGGTTATGCAGTTCGACAGGGGGAAGATGAACACCAATGGAGCATTTGAACGCACGGGAGCGTTGAATAAACCTCCCCCTGTGCTTATGGCAAATGTGCATAAGCTAGCGGCAGAGCATAGAATGCGTGGTAGCCAAATCCCTACATATCTATCAGAGATGTTCAAGATCTTCCCAAGAATAGCGGCTGAATATGCTTCCCCGGAAAGCCAGCAAGATCAGTTGTTTGATGCTTCTTATTCTCACGTCAGCGGAAACAGCTGTCGGTCATGCGATCAAACTAAAATCGTTGAGCGTGATCCGCGAAAGGACACAACACCTATAATCCACTACGGTACTATTGGATCTTCCAACACACTTGTCAAAGACAGTAAGACAAGAGACAAATTAAGGAAGGACCTAGGGATCATTTGTGTAGAGATGGAAGCAGCAGGACTAATGGACGATTTTTCTTGCATTGTTATTCGTGGAATTTGTGACTATGCCGACTCTCACAAAAACAAGAAATGGCAGCCATATGCCGCCGCTACAGCCGCCGCCTACGCAAAGGAGCTTCTCTTAACCATTCCATCACGGGGGGTGGCTACGACAGCCACAGCAGCGTATGCTCTCGGAGGTATGTCATCCGACCTCTAATATTAGGTCTCCTGGTAGTTTTAGGCAGCTCTTTATTTAATATACCAAGTTATCACTGTTTCTCTTTTTCATAGCGTATTCTAGGTGTTGAATATTCATAGACTGTGGAAGAAGGTACTGATTCTATTCCCCACTTAGCAGATGGCCAGTGGCTCGTTCCATTTGGACGTAACAAGAACTTTGTTGGTCGTGAATCTCAACTCGAAGAACTTGTAGCTATATCCAACCCAGAGAATAACAAGGAGAACTGTCAAAGAGTAGCAGTAACAGGACTCGGTGGAATAGGGAAGACACAACTTGTTCTTGAGACTGCCTTTCGGATCAAGGAATTGTTTCCCTCTTGCTCTGCATTCTGGGTGCCTGCTATCGATATAGCCAGTTTTGAAAAGGCCTATCGTGAGATTGGAGTAAAACTTGGGGTTCCTGGAATCGACGACGATAAGGCCGATATCAAGCTACTAGTCCAGAGGGCAGGGATCATTTGTGTAGAGATGGAAGCAGCAGGACTAATGGACGATTTTTCTTGCATTGTTATTCGTGGAATTTGTGACTATGCCGACTCTCACAAAAACAAGAAATGGCAGCCATATGCCGCCGCTACAGCCGCCGCCTACGCAAAGGAGCTTCTCTTAACCATTCCATCACGGGGGGTGGCTACGACAGCCACAGCAGCGTATGCTCTCGGAGGTATGTCATCCGACCTCTAATATTAGGTCTCCTGGTAGTTTTAGGCAGCTCTTTATTTAATATACCAAGTTATCACTGTTTCTCTTTTTCATAGCGTATTCTAGGTGTTGAATATTCATAGACTGTGGAAGAAGGTACTGATTCTATTCCCCACTTAGCAGATGGCCAGTGGCTCGTTCCATTTGGACGTAACAAGAACTTTGTTGGTCGTGAATCTCAACTCGAAGAACTTGTAGCTATATCCAACCCAGAGAATAACAAGGAGAACTGTCAAAGAGTAGCAGTAACAGGACTCGGTGGAATAGGGAAGACACAACTTGTTCTTGAGACTGCCTTTCGGATCAAGGAATTGTTTCCCTCTTGCTCTGCATTCTGGGTGCCTGCTATCGATATAGCCAGTTTTGAAAAGGCCTATCGTGAGATTGGAGTAAAACTTGGGGTTCCTGGAATCGACGACGATAAGGCCGATATCAAGCTACTAGTCCAGAGGGCTTTAAGTGAGATGACTAGCAGCTGGCTGATGATTATCGACAATGTAGATGATATAAGTATACTCTACTCAGACATATCCCGGCTAGTCGATTACCTTCCTTTTAACCAGAATGGTTCAATCCTTCTTACGACTCGGAACTTTGAAATTGCGACCAAATTTTCAGAAACAGATGTTATTACTGTTGAAGAAATGTCTGATAATGAGGCTCAAGATCTTCTACAGAGGAGTCTGGGTACCAAGGTCCAGGCAGATGAAAGAGATGATATGCGAAGGCTTCTCCAGCTTCTTACTAATCTTCCTCTTGCAATCAAACAAGCAGCGGCATTTATGAAAGGAAAGAAGAAGTCTATCTCTACATATCTGAGAGTATATTCGGCCAGCGACGGGGAACTTATTGAAAATCTGACTCTGAATTTCGAAGATCAGGGTAGATATAAAGGATATAAGAACGTACGAAATCCTATCGCAGCAACTTGGTTAATTACATTCGAAGCGATTGCGAAATCTGATCTTGCTCACCAATATTTATGCTTCATGTTTTGTGTCGCTGCAAGGGATATTCCCCGCTCACTCTTGCCGCCAGCCTCAGATCGAGAACAAGAGGACGCGACTACTCTTTTGGAACAATATGCATTCATCACCCCGCGAAATATGGGCGCATCCTATGATATGCATCGGCTGGTTCACTTGGCAGGGCAGAATTGGCTAAAGTCACAGGAGAGTTGGACTTTGTGGAGTACAAAATCGCTTAGCCAAGTTGTTAATGTTTTTCCATTTTGCGACTATGAAGAGCGACATCTATGTTTACAGTATCTTCCTCATGCTTGTTATATACTCGAGAAAGAATTCTCAAAAGAGTTTGACCAAAGTCGATGGAAATTATTATTACTTGTTGCGCGATGTTTCTCAGAAATTAATAAATATCGAGATTCTGAGATAAAATACCTACAAGCGCTACAGTTGGCGGAGAAGGTCTTTGGACCAGATCACACATCGACCCTTGATACAGTTCACAACTTAGGCGCCCTCTACAAATATCAAGGCAAGCTGGTGGAGGCCGAGCAGATGTACCAGCGGGCGTTGCAAGGCTATGAGAAGGCCCTTGGACCAGATCACACATCGACCCT